TTACGGGTTCCTTATATCTATGAAACTCCAAATCTGGCAACAAGTTTTGTTAATATTTCATTTGTGTTCCGATTTGGTGATAGAGCTGTGGCAAATTTAAATTTTGATCAACTTTGAAACAACGATAATTATTTTTAGTTTTGATATTTTTTTTCGATTTTAATAAACTACCTCAATCTAAACAATGTCTGATGAAGAATTACCTAAGGGATGGGAAAAGCGTACGAGCCGATCAACTGGTGGGTTTATTAGTTAAATTTTCATAGGATTTCAAAAGAAAAGTTACAAAATCGCACTAGTTTTAATTACTTTGACTGGTCGAATCGACTATCTGGGATCTTTTGGGGTTAAGAGAAAAATGTTACATGGTCCCTTTATTTAACACCAAGTTGTTTTAGCTTATTTTCTTTTTGTGTTGGGTGGACTCCCTTTTTCCGAGATTTTCTTTTGCAGTGTGAAAAAATCTGAATGCTGATAAAATATAAACCATCTATACCTTTTTTTTTATCCTTTTACATAAAGAGCACTAAAAAACAATTTGGAATTTGAGTTATTATTCTTTGATGCTCTCAATTTGCATAGATTCTATTGTAAATCTATGTTGTTTCTCAATCGCTCTTTAGCGATTATTGCTATGAAATTCCGCATAGTTTTAAAAAATCCGATGCCTTTAATGTGATATTGCGATGCATGAATTTCGTATTTGAGTAATCCATTTTCGGTTTTCTTTCTTTTTGCCGATTTCATCCCACGTCCAAGTAACTATTTCTTGTGTCATTATGTCGTTTATAATAACCAATTTCTAGGTGGGTTTTGAAATTGCAGTACATTTATCATGGTATAACGACTCTTGAGTTATAAATTGCAAATTTAATTGATAATTTTTTACATGCTTTATTTGTGCCGATTTCATGGTAAATCCAAATGAATTTTTCTTCCTTTTTTTTTTAAATGTCAGCTATTGCCTCACTTTTCTATGTAAATTTTGAAAATCCGTATTTTTACTATGATATTATTACGACACACAAGCTTCAAAGCTATCAAATTGCTCATTTGAATAATCACTTTTTGTCTCGCTTTATTTTTGCCGATTTCATCATAAATCCAAGTTTTTTTTCAACAGTTTTTGCCGCACATTCTGATGTGATTTTAAAAATTCCTATTTTTATTACGACATGCGAATTTTAAACACTCATTTAAATGAAAACTTATTGATGCACTTTATTTGTGCTGATTTAATTAAAATGTAAGCATTTTTTAAAAATTATTGCGATGCTTTCACAAATGGTTTTGACCATTCCATTACTTTAAATACAATGTTTGTTACTATTTGTTTGTGCATATTTTGTTGTTGGAATTAGTTTTTTTTTCCAGCAGTTATTGCCATACATTTGTAAGTGGCTTATAGAATCTCAACTTATAATACAATGTTATTGCAACCTGAAAATTTCAGTTGAGTAGAGGAAAACTTTAATTTTTAAACTGCCCACTATTTTTAATTTATTTTGTTATACATTTTTCGTAACTTATGTGATGTTTATAGAAAGAAATATTTTTTTTTTTTATTATTTAAAATTCATAAAACCTCTTATAATTCAAGAAATATAAATAATATCTGATAAGATTCAATACCAAATAAATTTTGAATCTTATTTTATACTAAAATGGTTTTGTTTTAATTTTTGGTTTTTGTTTAAACCTTATAAATTTTCTTTAATTAAAATATGTATATTTATTTTTGCATTTTCATTGTTTGACTATTAGTTTTTTTTGTTAGAATTTATATTTTCTCTCCTGTAATATCTATATATCTATGTATTTTTAATAAATCAATTATTGATAAAGAGGGAAAAAATTTGGATAGGTATCAGTTTTTTTATACATTTGAATTAATTCTAATAATTAAAAGTATTTAATTTTCTGCAAATATACTATCTATTTTTTTGATAAGAAGAAGAAAAGATTTTAACAAATGCTTAGAACACTTATTTTTATATAAAAATTATCAAACTTGCCGCCAACATGACTAAATATGCTTATTAGTCAACCTGTTGTGCAAGTGACCCTTCACTCAAAAAGATTGTGCACCTCCCTGTAGCAGAATTTTTTTTGAGCTATCTGCAACTAATCTCCCTAGCAAAAGCATCTTTCTGCAAGATGCTTTTAATTATAACAAGCATGTATGTTACTAATTGAAAGTAACAAATACGCTGTGTTTACGAGAAAGACTATATTACTTTTTTAAATTGAATAAGTAATAATTTTTTATTTTAATATTATGGATAATATTGTCGCATTTTGTTGGGGGAAAAATGCACAAATTATTTGTAAGCTTTTCCAATTTATTAAATTTTGTAATAGCTGGAAAAAAGGTAGACGCTGAAATCGCCCAAATCGAACTCCTTAAACGCGTGTTTCGTTTCAAGATTAGGTTGTTGTAACAAATAATATCGTATAAAAAATATCCGATTTAGAAACTGTGGAGAAATCAATAGCATTACCAGTAAAAATTCAGTAGAATTATAGCCTTAAAAAGTACTCAAATGCACGATTCGAATTTTCCATATTGTTTGAAATATATCGGAATATTTAAAATCCACATGAAAATCAATATCAATAACTGCCGAAAGTACAATAAAAAAATTACATCGATTTACGATACTATCGGCGTAAATTGAGCGTGTCAAAAAGTCATTATCTAAATGCATGATTCAAATATGTGTAAATTTTTGTAGAAAAGAAAACTGAAATTTTTTACTTTTCCAAAGAAAAATCTTTCTGCAAGAACTCTGTTACATTCTGCGACAATGTCACTGCTATTCTGCCACGGGAGTGCACCCCTTGTTTAGAGTATTTGGAAGCATGTGATTTATTGAAGAAAAAAGATCTTTCTTTAACCTAAAAGTGTTAAGTTCCTGGATAAAATTGTATAGAAGTTTATCTGCTGCACTCTATTTTGTCATTCAATAACATAAAGAAACCGGTTTTTGGATGTAGGAACCCTGCATCCGAAAGTTAAGAAAAAACCAGGACTAACACTCATCGGGTTAAATAACTATGCTTGTACATTTTAATTATTTTACTAATGTCTCTTCTTCTGTATTTAAGGACAAGCTTACTATTTGAATTTGTATACAAAAGAAAGCCGTTGGGAAAAACCAACTAAACCAGCTGAACAAGGGCCTTCTAGTGAGGAAAGTGTTGATAAAGTTCAGTGCAGTCATTTATTGGTTAAGCATAGAGATTCAAGGCGTCCTTCATCTTGGAGAGAGGAGAACATTACAAGATCCAAAGAAGAAGCTTTGAAAATTATTGAAGGTAAATTATTTGTAGTAATTTGTTAAAATGCTAAAATTATTTGATGCTTAGAAAGAAACTTTACCAATTCTCACTCCCTAAATTTGGTTATTATCTCATAAAATTTCATGTCTATATTCATGAGTGTTTATATATACAAAAAGTAAATGTAATTTTTTTTTTCAATTTTTATATATGGATAATTTGCTCTGCTTGTCGAGAAACTTCATTTGTGTTATGCTTTATTTGTTTATGGTGTAAAAAATGTTTGCTGAATTTGAATTATGACAAACCATTGATCTATTAACTATTTTGAAAAATTCTGCTATATTAAAAAAAGTTTAAAATTATAATTTTGGTTACTGAAATTTTGAATTATAAAGACTAATTCATTTAGAACTCTTATCACTTTGTAAAATACTGTTAATATTACATTTTATTTCAGAAATTTTTAATTATTATAATGAGTTGAGTACAAAAACAATGAATGTAACTTTATTCTAGACTTGTAAAGTGTAAATAAAAATCTATAAAGCAGTGTCTGAAAAAAATTATAACAATGACTATGAGAGAAATGATTGTTACAGTGTATCTAAAAGAAATTCCAACATGTAAATTAAAATTGTTAACCATTCCTAAAATATTTTTATTTTTCTATCAAACAAAATATTTTCTGATTCTCCAAATTCATTTTCATCTAGTTGTATGTCATCTTATTTTGATTTTTAAAAAAAAACTTCTTTTTTAATAATAAAAAGAAGTTCTTGATGATTTTGTGAAATGTTTATTAATACCTAGTTTGTTATGGAAACTGATGACAATTGCACTAATTGATGTTCAATAATCAGCCTTACTCTTGTTTCTATTTTTTGTAAGACAAATTTTTTTTTGATTTTTCATAATATCTAGATCATATTTTATTGTATTCCAAAAATCTTCAAATTTGATTTATTAAAGTTTGTCATGTTAGATGTTTTTATCTAAAACAGTGGAAAATGACAGTAATTTTTAAAAAAATTTTTTAATGCATGCAAATTCGATCGAAATCCCCAGAAAACGTTTTATTATTTTTCTTAAAGTGCTAATTATTAAATTATTTTTTTTATCAAAAAACGTTCGTTAGATTTTTTTATTTTTGTTTCGTTCGGTTTTAACTTTCATTTGAATTTTTGTAATTAAATCCAACTGTTTACATTGTAAATTAATGTGTCAGAACAACGATATTTATTATAAGTTATGCCCTAATGTAGTTTAATAGAAATGTGGGCTTAATATAAGGTATTTTTATAATATCATTAAATTTTAATGGTATTCACTGATACATTGTTAATTGTTTGTTTACAAAGCTTTCTGACTGAAATATTTAAGATTTTTCAACACTTTTTCAATTGTAAAAACGGTGGTAGAATGAGTTATTTATACCCAATGTTATTTCTTCATATGATGCTTCATAAATGCAAAATAGTTTTATTCTTTTATTTTTATGTAATTTTAAATTTCAGATGTTTTTAAAGATTTATTTTTATGTGGTAAAAGTTCATTTTAAGTGAACGAAATGTTGAATTGATATGTTGCGTTGAATAGTTTTATATTTTAAAATTGAAGATTAGTTTTTATTTTTTAAATTTATTCCTGCTTGAATTAATTGCAAGAAATTATCTTCTTTAAATTCTTAGTTAGTAGTATGATGAAGCCTGAGATTACGATCAACATTCTAAAAAAAGCTACAAAAAATATATTTTTATTTTTAAAATATTATTTCAAGTTAAAAGAAATTAATATATTTCAGTAAAATTTATTTTAGTTGCATTTATCTATATTATAAAAGTGTTGATATGAAGCATATCCATTCATTTGATTGACACTATAGAAACAGGAATTAAATTTTATAAATCTGTATTAAAATAATTTTTAGCCATAGCAAAATTCTTATCGACTGAAAGATAAAAAATATTGCTAATAGAGATCAACATTACTCCTTGTTTAATTATTATATAATAGAACTGTGCGTTAGAAAAAAATTTCGTTTTGCATGAGTTTTTTTTTTTTTTTAATACTTTAGCTTTAGTGAAACAAAAACATCTAGTTTAATTATTCATTGAAATTATATGTCTAAATTAAATTAAACTTTGTGCATAAGCGCATAGATTACGACTATGATGATGGACAGATATTTTTCAATGGACAAAATTTCAGCGATACCAATTGCTTAATCTGCGCTTTTTTTTTTTCCCAATTATTTTAACTAAGTTTTTTTCATTAAAAATTTATAATGCATTAATTTTACTATCTTAGAGTTCCTTTTTGGGATAACTAATAAATAATTTGAAGAAACAAGGTGATAAATTAACTATTACCATACCTATTAAATGCTATATGCAGGATGAGGAATTAAACATTATGAATAAAAATAATTTCTGACCATAACAAAACTCATATTGACGTAGTGAATAATACAAAAATAGATATGTGTATTTAACTATTAAGAAGTTTTAAAAAAAAATTAGTAAATATTTATATATAAAAAATCCTTCATCTCTGGTAAAAGAAAAACTATTTGTTTAATGATTCACTGAAATTATGTAGCAAAATTAATTTACATTACTTGAATTTTTCAATATTAGCATATAGATTGTACTGATAATAGATAATAAATAGATATTTTTCAACAGATTAGATTTATAAAAATACTGATTCATTTTAATGCATTTGATGACACTGATTCATATACTGTTGCCATGACCAGTCAAGGATCATTTTTGATTGCATCCCTTATGAAGACTTTTTTCTTTAATTTGAATACTTAAAAACTAAGTAAATAAACATTTTTGAGGAAAAAAAACCTTATCAGATTTTTAGATTCAGGAAAGAATTTCCAATAAATTAGGACGGAAAAAGTTTTAAGAGATGCTGTAACTTTTCATTATGCTTCATAAAATTATTTTATCTAGCTTGTGATTTAAATATCTTTGTTTTTTACACACATGATCACAGTTTGTTTTAAGCATTTAAAAATAAAGATTATTAATTATAAAAATAAAGATTATATATTATAAAAATATTAATAATTCTGTTTAAAAAATCTGACTTAATACTTTTTTACGCTAAAAGGTGACTTCTCCGAAAATTGACAAAGCAAGTTTTGAATGTGAAGTTTACATAAACATGGGGTTGCAAAAATCTGGTGGATGTGGCTAAATATTTAAAACTATTTATACTCTTGCTGTTTTATTTAAGCTTTAAATCATTGCTACAATTTTTATGAATTATCTATGCAAAGCAGAATCTTGTACCATTAAAGTGTGTTGCAAATTGGAATGTATATAAAAATGTTTTCTATCTATATTGTATTTTTTTGTAATTTTAAATGTCTTATGTTAAATTTATTATTGATAAAACTGAATTTACTCGAGCGTACTATCGACAGAAGCAATGTTTGTGGGTGTTTGCAGTAATTTCAGTTGGTTGCAATTGAAAAAAAATATTTATAAAATTATGTATAAATATTTTTTTTAAATAAGAAATTTTCATGTGCGGGCATCAAAAATTTTCACAACAATTTCAATAATTTAATTAAAACTACTTAAATAATATTTTTTGACAAAAAAAATAATAAATTTTCAACAACATTTAAACTTTGAAACATGAAAGAAAAGGGGGTAATGAAAAAGCTCTGGGGATATAGTGCTCGCCTCCCAACGAAGTGGCTGGTTTCGAATCTCAGCAATATCTGGTTGATACGAATTCTGCAACCGGCTCGGACCAGCTACAGTGCTGACGGGAAATATCCTGAGTAGTAAGGCGGATCATGGGATAGAGTCCCCTTGCCATCAAACTAACCGTGGGAGGTTTTCGTGATTTCCTTTTCCATGTAATGCAAATGCAGGTTAGTTCTTTCAAAAAGTCCTCCATGAAGGCAAAATTTTTCCCAATACTTGATCTAGGAGTTCCCTTCTGGGTTGGGTTCAAACTTGCAAGGCGACAGAGTTGAAAATTTGTAGTGGTAAACTCAGAATTGGGTTGGCTGTTCACCACCAGTTACAAAGTAAAATAAAATAATGAAAGGGGCTTTCTAAATTAAACAGATTTAAACAACAAGCAACAGTAATAAATAACAAAGTCTCAGCATAGCCAATATTATATTGGAATTTTTATGTGAAGAATCTGAAAAAGCCAGGAATATTTTTTGTTCTGTTTTATTAGCAACCCTGTTTTGTTTTTTTATATATAGGAAAGTTATTTTATATGTTGTTGTAATGTGTATTTTTTAAAATAAATTTTCAGAATTCGGTTATGAAATTGATATCCGTGATAATGATGTATAAGCAGGATGCTAGTAGACTCCTTATACACCTTAGAAACTCCTTGGGAAAAAAGAGGTCTCCAAGGAGTACTTGGAACTACTTAGATTTCCAAATTAGTCCTTTGAAACTCCTTAGTTTATTGCATTGCATAGATGAACTTCCGCTGATGAATGATGAATCCGCCAATGAATTTTCTGTCCAAGCAGGGAAACTAAATTATATGACTTAGCTGTCAAAACCTAATAGTTTAAGAAAAACTTTAAAAGGAAAAAAAATTGAATTGCAAGAGTTAGAAGAAAAAATAACAGCAAATAACTTTAATTTTACTTGTTATAAGCAAACTTAAGTAATAATTTACTGGTTTTTTTTGTACAAAATGCTTTAGATTTTCTTATGTATTCAAATTTAAAAATATAAGATTGGTAGGTTTTTATGTTAATCTTTAACATCTGTACTTTAACAAGATTTGTTAAAATATTTGAAACTGGAAAATGTGTTTAGGTGTAAAAGTGATAACTTTATTTTTCTTAATGAAGTTTGACGAAGTCAAAATTTATTACAGAAGGGCTAGAAAAAATATACAAAATATACATTTTTGCAAGTTCCTTGTAACTGCTTCTTAATTTTAAAAAAACTGTCTGGCTATTTTTTACAAAGTTTTTGATAAATCCTTAAAATGTTGAACTCCTTGGATTTCTTCTTCTGATCTCTGTATGAACCCTGTGTATAAGATTAATGAAACAAAACTATCAATGATGTGAAATTCATTGTTAATTTTTTTAATTTAGATTTTCAGGATCAAATGGAGACTGGTAAAGCTAATTTTAAAGACTTGGCTTCTAAATATAGCGACTGCAGCTCTGCTAAAAGGGGTGGAGATCTTGGACCATTTGGCAGAGGAGCCATGCAAAAACCTTTTGAAGATGCTTCCTTTGCTTTGAAGATTGGTGAAATGAGTGCTCCAGTGTTCACTGATTCTGGTGTGCATCTAATTATGAGAACTGCATAAATTCTTGTCCTTTCATTAATGTAAAAATAAATGTTCAATTACTGTTATTGTTAAAGTATTACTATAATGATACTCTATGTATGTTGGAATTAGCAATAAAAGAAGTTGTTTTATAATGTGATTAATTATTGTTATATACACTGGTTATCATAAATTAAGGAAAATTCACAAAAATCGCGATAACTCAAGAAATTACACATGGAATTTTATGAAACTTACCCACAATATACAACACATAGTAAGGTATTAAACAACATAAAAAGAAATTATCAGACATTAATAGTAGTATAGAAATTAGCACATGTATAAAATAAACAAATTGGAAGTATCGGTTTGCAATAGAAAAAGTACCTTTAATATGGAATATGATTGCCTCTAGAAGCAATACAGCACAAACAGCGATGTGTGATGCTTTCAATTATGCGGTCTATCAGTTCAATAGGAAGTGAGAGCCATTGCTCTTGTAAAGCAGTTGCAAGCGTGGCAAGGGTCTGAGGGGGCGGATTGATGGCAGATACACGCCTCCCTAGAGCATCCCAAACGTGCTCGATAGGATTCAAGTCCGGGGATCGAGCTGGCCACTCCATGCGAGTAATTGTTTCCTGTTGAAGATAATCATCAACAATGCGAGCTCTGTGTGGTCTTGCATTATCGTCCTGTAACAGGAAGCAATCACCAATTGCCCCGGCATATGGGCGCACATAAGCATCAAGGATGTTGTCTCGATAAACCTGAGCATTCACGGTTCCCCTTGGAAAGACATGGAGGTATGTGCGCCCTCCTAAGGATATGCCTCCCCAAACACAGACACTGCCTCTTCCGTATGCATCTCTTTCACGGATGTTTGATGGATGATAACGGGTCCCAGGTTCTCTCCATATCAAATAACGTCTACTGTCACTTTCTAGACTAAACCTGGACTCATCCGTAAAGAGAACAGGCCTCCATTGATCTGACGTCCAGTGGACATGTTGTCGGGCCCACTGCAAACGGTCTCTCCTATGGCGTGATGTGAGCGGCACGCAAATGGCTGGTCGTCTCGCATACAGACCACCTTCGTGGAGCCTTCTGCGCACAGTTGACGTTGACACCAACCTTCCGGTGGCTGCAGCAAGAGAGGATCTAAGATGTGTCGGAGTAGCGGTTCTATTCCTGCGTGCACTTAATGTCAAATATCGGTCATCGGCACTGGTCGTAACAGTTGGCCGTCCTTGACTGAACCTCCTAGATGCCGAATCTGTGGTTTGAAATTGCCTCCAAAGTCTATGAACCACAGATGGACTCACATTTAGCCATCTGGCCACTTCTGATTGACTCTGCCCTGCCTCTAGTCTCCCGATGGCTCTCCATCGTAGTTCTTCAGGCAAATGATGCCTAGAGGTCATTATTACGAATTGGCTATCTCAGATTTTCAATGTCGCAATCACAGTAAAATTTGTGTGCTTTCTCTCAAACTTGGACTTTTATGCTCCAGGCAGATGACGTAAGCCGAGTGCAGCGCCACTAATTTGCATATTGCAATTTTACTCAGCTACTCTTAGTGGACAACATATGCAAATTTTGCACGGTTTGGCTTACTTTTGAAAGAGTTATCGCTATTTTTGTGATTTTTCCTTAATTTATGATAACCAGTGTATATTAACACTAAACATACCAACACTTAATATATTTCTATTTCTACCATAGCCGGTCAAATGACCTGACTCTATGTTTCTTGATTGAATGTTTGAAAGATGGGTGTTAGGAAGGAAATAAACTAAAAAAAACTTTATTATAATTAAACAAAATTGAATATTGCCAATTTTTATGTATTACAATACAAACACGAAGAATAAGAATTTTTAATTCATTGCTCAATGCATTTTTTACATATTCTGCATTTTCCCCAAACATATTTCTAAATATTGCTAAAGTAAGAAAACTTTAATTTGTTTCGATGATTTGTTTATTACAAATGGAATATTTTTCGCTGATGAAGTGTACTATCACAGCAACTAATTCAATCTTGAAAAAAGTATTTTCCAGTTGAAACAAAACACTTTAAAATGTAGTTTTTCTTAAATATTTTCAGAGTGTCTCTTATTTTTTATGTATCGTGCCTCTCATAATATTCTAAAATCAAATTCAATAAACGAAGAATCAAGTATTATAGAAATAATTTTGCCACGATTTTAAAAGAGGCGGCTACAGTTAATTATTTAATATATTACAAACGTAATTTTTTCTGTACCAAGGTAAGTTCGGACTATTTATAAGTGGAGGCTTTCAGATGTAGGAGACGTTGGTTTAACCCATATATTATGTTTAACTGCATGAAATATTTTAATATATAATAAAGTATTTTCTCAAATCATAATGATACTCAAAATTACTAAATAAAATATTGTTACAAAAATAAGCATACTCAGGAATCTAATGTTAATAAAATATGTCTAAAACATTTTATATGAAGGGTGCCCTTGCTTATGACACCGGCAAAAAGCTACAAGAATCGACCTCAATCTAGATTCGGGCGTATAAGTTAAGAAAAGTACGTTTTGAAAGCAGTGCAATTCTCAATAACAACCTAACTTTAAATTGTCACTACTAATCCCAAGTCAAAATTCTTGATGGTCCCATCCAAAACTTTTTGATGGTTTATGTTGGTTTCAGTGTGATTCGTGATGATCCAACATCATTTGATGGTCACCATCATCCAACACTTTCCATTATGTGTTCATGGTTTTGATATACCAACAAATTTTCATCATTCCGTGATGGAAAATGCTACCATAATACTATAATGGTTAACCATCAAGAAAAGTTTGACTCTTGGACCAATAACCCATGATGATCCGTGATGGTTCCAACTATAAATTTTTATGTTAGTTTAATGGGAATTCTTATTGGTTCTCAGAAATATACCATCAAAACAGTTTTCTTTTATGCTGAACCATCACAAATCAGTCCGAATTCCAACTTTGGGATGATGGTAGTTCATGATCGCTCCAACGGTTGATTTCTTAGATGTTATGACGGAAATTCGTGATGGTTCCACATGAAAAAAAAACATCAAAACAAGTTGCTATTCATATGTTGGACCGTACATTGAGATCATGGTAGTTTATGATAGTTACCATCAAAAGTTCATGATGGAATTATTAATGCTTATCATCAAGATTATGCTGGTTCATCCCTGGAAAACCATCAAAAATTTTGATTTGGGATGGCAAAACATTTGGATACGTTATTTTTATGCAAAAAATTAAATCGCTTCGGTAGTCTTCGAAAATTAACAGAATTTTATAAAAAATTTAATGAAACTTTGAACTCAGGAAGACATGTACAGGGTCCAAAGAGACCTCAAAAAATTTGAAAATGGAATTCCTATAACTTTAATTTTCTTGACATACTCTTTTTCTCAGTAGTCAAGTTTTAAAAGCTTATGAATGTCTATTGAATCGCGGAATTTAAAGGTTCATTTATTTTGTATTAAATAGTTATATTTCAGTATCAGCTGATTCCATCGATACTCCTAGCGATAATTACATTTTCCGTTTTATATTTTCATGTTTTAAACTCTCATGACCATCCATCAAGTGTCCTTTAAAAAAAAAAACTTCCCACTGATCAAGTTTCTATCACTTATAGACGTAATCAACGGTCTTAAAACAGACAAGGCGCCGGGCCCTGATGGTATACCAAACGAAATTTTTAAAGATATTTATTTTACAAATAGAAATTGGTTGCTAACTCTTTTTAACATTTGTTTTATGAACTGCTATTTTCCAAGACCATGGAAGATTGCCAGAGTCGCCCTGATACCTAAATCAAACAGAAATTTAAACTTGCCAAACAATTACCGTCCAATCTCGCTCCTAGCCGTCTGGGGAAAAATATTAGATAAAATGCTTACAAAAAGATTAACATATCATCTTGAGAAAAGAAACCTCATCAATGACAATCAATATGGCTTCAGGGCTGGGAGGGGAACGGACGAGGCGCTTAAAAAAGTTGTTGATATCATCTGTGAAAAGAAATCAGAGAATAAGCATACCATTGGGGTGGCTCTGGACATCGAGAATGCGTTCAACCGTGCAGATTGGACAATCCTGAAGAACGCAATAAACAAATTGGCATTGCCCGACAATTTGGCCGGTTGTGTCTTTAGCTTCCTAAAGGATAGAAAGGCTAAATTTTTAGGAGATAACGGCGATACTCTAGTAGAAAGTAACTTAAACATTGGTGTACCACAGGGCTCGTCGCTTGGACCCATTTTGTGGTTGATCTTGGTTAATGACATTTTTAATTTAGTTCGTAATATAAATTTTAGCCAATTTATTGATTTTAACCATGATGATTTCAATATCATTGCATTTGCAGATGATATTTTACTGTTGGTAAGTGGTCCAATTTTCTATAAATTTGATAAACTGGCGACTCATATTCTATCCCACATGTCAGACTGGGCCGAGAACAACAAATTAAATTTTTCGAAAGAAAAAACTCAACTTATTACATTTCCAAAAAATAAAAAAAAGATGGGAAGACTCCCCTGTATTAAATTTAGACCGGATGATACGAACAATATTAAAAATGTAAGTACGATGAGATACTTAGGGGTGACCCTCGATCCAGGTCTGACATGGATTCCACACTTAAATGATATTAGAGACAGAATTACAGGTTTTAATCAGGGAATTAGGAGAGTCGCCAGAGTTACATGGGGTCTCAGACCACAATTGTTGAAACGCATATATCTCCAGGCAAGTGAAAGAATTATACTTTACGCCGCCAGTGTCTGGTACAGAAATACTAGGAGAATTAACGAAAAATTAAACAGTATCCAGCGAATACCACTCTTAACCATCACGAAGGCCTATGCTACAACGAGCACAGAGGCAATCCAGATACTGGCGGGTGTTATGCCAATTGGTTTGAAAATCGTGGAGGACATCTTTTGCAAAAGGGTGAAGTGGGGCTGGAGACTCGAGGACATAAATTATACTCTACCAATTGATCTTGATCATAACATAGATTTCGAGAAACCAGCCCTAGGGCATCCTTCAGATTACATTGCTTTGCCCTGGGGATATAGCAGCCCTAAAGATCAGGGAGTGGAGATCTACACTGATGGCTCTCGGATGGAGGCAGATTATCCGAATAAATTCAGGACTTCACACGCAATGATAGTTAAGAACAACGGTATCACGATTTTCAAAGCCTCCACCAGAGTCACTGATAACACCAACATATTTATTGCAGAGCTTTTGGCAATCAAGTCTGCCCTGATATGGCTACGTCAACATGATATTACACATGCAACGATTTTTTCAGACTCACTATCATCCCTCCAGGCCCTGGCTGACCCAGAACCCAGTTCCAAACTCATAGAAGAGATCAAAAAAATTTGGAATAAGAACACTATTTTGAACTGGGTAAAAGCACATGTGGGGATCCAGGGCAATGAGGAGGCAGACAGGGCAGCAAAGGAAGCCATTGGTTCTGACAGTGTGGATCTCCAGGTTCTGAAGACCCCCAAACAAGCTAAAACCGAAATCAAACAATATTTAATGGCAAGGTGGAAAACCAATTGGGAAAATTCTGAGAAAGGCAGGCATACATTTAAATTCATTAAGACCCCGTCAACTACAAGGTTGCAAACTAATTTCTATTTTAACCAATTTCTAACGGGGCACGGAGTGTTCGGAGTACACCAAAACAAATTTTTTAATAAATCAGATACTTGCTCTAACTGTAACCAAAGACAAACCATAGAGCATCTTTTATATTATTGTGATCGGTACCGAACACTCCGAAAAAATTATTTCTTCCAAAAAACAGACCAACAAATTTTTGCAGACAAGGTTTGTAGAGAAATTATCAAGATTATCATTAAAACTACTCTTGAGGAACAAATGGAATTAATAAACAAAATTGACAATAACTAAAATTTTAACCTGCTTAATCTAACCACCTTGCCAAAACTTTTTTTTGGACCACATTGCCATTTTAGTGTTTTAATTTGACTTTTAACTTGACTTTGCATTTTATACATGCTTTAGGTTTGTTTACAACCTTTGGATTTTAATACATTTGGTATTTTACATTGCGATTGTATTTTATACATGGTTTTTAGATTGTTATACACCCCTTTTAACTCTTACCTTTTAGTATCTATTGGTATTTTGTCCTCTGTTTTTTTGTACTTTAATTGAATTTACTCTGCTTTACTTGTTGTTCTTCATTTTAACTACCTGTTACTACTTCACCCTCACTATTTTGGTTCCACCAGCAGGATTCAAGCTGGCTTGATTGGCTGGATCCTTTCAATGCCCTATTGGCAAGTGTATACATCTGTGATTTTGTCTTAGTTTTAACTTTTCAATTTTAGCACTATATTCATTTATGTCATTTTATCCTTTCACCTTTTGGCGGTTTTATGAGCTGTATTTACGGCGGTTTTTGGTGAATTGTTAGATTTTTTGTCTTGTATTAAGGGTTCCACCAGCTCTGGCTCACAGCTCACTCAGTTTTTACTGGTTGTCTCAGGGTTCACAATTTTTGTATTATATATATATATAATTTTTGTATTCTATTTATATGAGGGTTAATAAGTTTTGTATTGTATATATACATATAATTTTTGTATTTTATTTATATAAGGGTCTGTTGACCTTTTAAATGATTCATTGTATTTGGTGTATGGGCCTATTGGCCTAGGCCGCTGTATATATATTATAGACGTACTTATAGACGTACAGTGTGCCAAAAAAGGATCACCCTGAATAACATTTGATCTAATGAACGGATCTTCAAGTTCTAGGACTCACTCTTAATGATTCAAGGGGACGACCTAAAATATGCTGATTAATTACTGCAGGGGATATTTTAAGTTACGAAATCAGACAAAAAAACCTACTTTCTCTGAATAAACATACTTTTTTTCGATGGATTCGGATTTCTGATTCCAAGATCTCTTGGTGTTAACACTAGGATTGATCGAAGTAAATATACAGGGTGTTCCAAAATTCTCTTTACAAGTTCAAAAATTCATAACTTCGAAAATAAACAGGAAATTTATATTCTGTCTTTTGCATGTATTACTGCAACTAATAAAGTTTTGTTTAGTACACTTCAACATGCGCACCATTGGTGGCCCTAAGCACTTCCAGTCTGCAATCAATTTCAAGCCAGGTGATGTAAAGATAATTTTGGAACACCCTGTATATTAAATGTTATTTACCTCAAAAGCTTTGAAATATTGAAATTCTCTATGTGGTATACTTATTTCTACGGATATGCGTCAATTTGACGCGATCATAATTTAGACAAAAGTTTAAGAAAACAAGCAATTATCACATCAATAATAAATAGGAATGTACCGACAATACTCCGATTCTTTATCTCAAATAAAACAAGTGATAAACAACTGTTGCCGATAAGCAATAATAGAAAGAACAAACGCAGAATGTCAATTGATGTCAGAGTGTCAGATTTTGAAGGTTTCAGTTGCTTAGTTCGAGTATTGAAACATAAAATACTAGAATATTTCATAAATATAGTATATCTCATATCTTCATTTTTTTTCTTATAGTATACATATACATTGGTTTCTAAGTGCAGAGATGCCAACTGCTCCGGACAAGCGAAAATAATTTTTAAAAAAATGGCAAATAACAACAAAGTAAATTTTGAAATATGAATCGGTGAATTATATAGGCCTACGAATTATTTAGAAATAGTGGTGGATAAAAATCTACTAAATTGAATTTATTAAATTAAGAATTACAATTATTTCATACGTCAAATTGACGTGTGTCCGTAGAGATAGGTATATAAGAAACGTACGTAAACCTAGTGTTAATTTTAATATTGGCGCATTTTGCTATACCGTTGTCCGAAATGGGTAAAAAAGACTTGTTTCTGCATTCTCAGTAGAATGTCACTTTGTGTTTTAATTTTTTCTCAGCAAGTGGTTGAATAGTTTAACAGTTCTTCGAAATGAGTGAAAGAGCATAGCTGCCAACTCTTCCGGTTTTCCCGGAAGATTTCAATTTCGTATTTAAAGTGGTATCGAAACTCATGTCATGCCATTAGACTTTTTGAATTATTATAATAATTCTAAATGAGTTTGACCACCACTAAATAGAAATAATTACAAGGAATATACAAAAGCATACTCTTTACGATAGCGGATTTTAACCTTGTGAAAATATAAATATATTTTGGAGTAAGTTTGTAAGAGTAAATTGTTTTCGGCGATTGCTTTACTACCACTTGAAAGATCCATTCTCAGAAAGAGTAAAAGTTGGCAGGTATGAAAGAGATATTATTTTGCATTCTGAACAGAAGATCAATCTCTAATGCTTCAATAACTAGCTCGTATTTCATCCAATTACAAGTTGCTTTCAACTAGTACCTTAATTTTTTACATAGCGCTCACTAGGAGCTAGGACGACGCATTGCGAGGAGCTAAGACTAGCGGGTTGACATCTTTGTTAACAAATATGTAAATTTTTTTTGAAAAAAACTGTGTCATCACTTATTACCATTATTTTCATAGAAACTTATTCATTAAAGTTATCGTAGAACAACAGATTCATCGGCGTTTTCCTATCAAAGTTTGAAACTTTTAGAAAGGAAGCTCAACAGCTAAATTGAGCTACCTGAAATATCTATTAAAAGGTGTCGTAACACAAAACTTCATCAAACGTCGTTTTACCGGTGAAATATGAAAATTCTAGATTGAAAAGTGAAATAACCTTGTTCTCAGAGACTCAAACTACTACGGAATCTTTGTAATCTCGAATTATTTTTTTTCAGTGGTAGTAAACTAAAGCAGAACTATTTTAAATAAAACAGATAACTAAAAAAATTGTTAGAATTTAATTAAACGTCTGTTTGTGTGATTTTATATGTATAATAATTCCTATCTATCGGAATAACTATTTTTAATAAGTCTTTTGTTGTATAAATCCAATTATTAAATCTTCCATATTCATCACTTTACTTAGCAAACATGTATTCACCTATTTTGCTTAAATTTGTTAATGTTCTACACTAGATGGAGTTAGTTGTTCTACTACTGAAGCAATTTCTTTGTCTTTATTCTTTTTCATATCTTCGGTGATTTTTCTCCTACTATGTATAAAATAAACATCCCTCAAAATACTGCCAGTTTACGAAGAGGGACTGCTCGAAATTAGTGCTCACCAAAACGGATATAGCACGAAATGCATACTTTCATACTTAAGAAAATGGACATAACTATTTAAGAAAACGGACAAAGCATTGATTCCGTTTTTCAAACTTTTTTTCATTAGTATTATTCGTTTTTTTAAATAATAAACTAGTTAATCCAAACAAATTCGTAAAGTAATATCGTACATTTGCATAAATCACTTCGTACATTTTTATTTAAAATAGTCTTTTTCGTTTCTTTTATTTATTATTTTTTTTTTAAAAAAAAAAAGACTTTTAAATTCAACAGTTGATTAAACAACTAGGTTGATACTGATTAGCCCAGAAAAATTAGCATAAGTAATTTGAAATTTTAAAGGTTTCATCAATATTTATGATTTTCAAGTTTGAGGTAGATTCCTCGCATCTGTAAAATTGTTTCTCTGCTTGAAGAGTTTGCATGCAGGAAAACAAATTTCATAACTAATGAAATTACTCGCGTATCTTTAAATCTGCTACTAATTCGGAAAATGTAAGAAACTGGTAGGATGGGCATTTCTTTTGTGGCCTTTTTTCATTAGAATAAATTATAATAATTAAATAATATAATAATTATTTTTAATATATAATAATAATTAATAAATAATAATTTTTATATAATAATAATAATAATTTTTATATAATAATAATAATTTTTTATATATAAATAATAATTATAATATATAAATAATAATTTTTTTAAAGTATAAATAATAATTTTTTAACGTACGATTCTTAGCTTAATAAATTCGATTTACAAGGTTTTTACTCACTATTATTTCTAAATAATTCGAAGGATTACGTAACACTCCACTGTGTTGTAGTTAAGCCGTGTTGAGCCTTCTGAAATGCTACCAAAATCAACTGAAAGTGTGCAAACTCTGGTTTGTAGTTCTCTACCGTTTTTAAAAATATTTTGTCGAATCAAAATCAGCTGGTATCTCTGCTAACATGCGTAACTTAATCTTGTTTATTGTAAATACTTATTCTGAGATAAGAAACAGGTGACACTTTATGTAAAAAGTGGTAGAAACTCAATTCAATTTTATTTATTAAATCGTATCTGTCCGTCACCTCCCACATCAAAAAGTCTTCACATGGTTTTTATAAGTAGTCTGCGCAGACTGTTTAAGAAGCAAGCCGGTTGTGCGCATGAACCCAATTTCTGTTTTAAAAGTCTAATCCTAGTGTTTTGATTTTATTGGGCACCTGGGCCGCGAAGCGACCCCTATCCCATTCATCTGGAATTTTAACACTGTTTTGGTTGAGCATTGAGGCAAGCAGACAGTGGGGTTGCTTTTATGAATGTTTCAAGCACTTTGCTTGAATAACTAAAAAGGAATCAAAAAATAAAATGAGCAGCTTGCTCTAAACTGTGTTTGTTTGATTTTGGAGTTGTTCAGAATTGTATCAGCATGAGGAAACGTTATTTTCAGAAAGGTTGATGAAATTATTTGTTTTGATAGTTATGATAGGAGGCGTCGGAGGTGAAATGTTCAGCTATTGGTCTGTAGTTTTTATCTTTGATATAATTTTCAAATTTAAAGATTTCATTAAAACTTGCTGTTTTACATTCTACGACTTTATCGAAAAAATCTGCGTTTAGCTTGTATATATGCTGTGATAGAGTTGGTATTTTGAGGTATGCGTGCATATTGGTATTCCGGATGAACCATCTTGCACGGGATACTTTTCTAAGGATCTTGTTTTGGCATTGGTTTAATTTCTTCAGTAGATGTTGAGATATCGTTGTCCAGGCAGGTAAGTATTGGGCGGATCATTGCTGTATACAGTAGCTTCTTTAGTTTAAGTGACATATTCTGATTATATTTTTAAAAGTTATCATCATCATCATCATCGAAATATATCTGGGCGCCTGGGGCCGTTAGCGGCCTTTATCCCATTCGTCTCGTATTGTGGTCTTTAAGGTGGTTCTTTCTGGTAATTGGAATAAAAGGAAATTAAA